GCTTCTGGGGACCCCTCTCTGGGCACCCACAGTCTACCGTGCCCTGAAGAGCTGCTCCCGGGGAGCGCTCATGGTCCCCTGGTGCCGGACATCCCTTCTCTGGGCAGGAGTTGAATCCCCTTCCCGAGGCTGTCCCTCAACACCCGTCCTGGCCAGCACCCGTCACAGCTAGCACCCACCGCGGGGCTGGGGATGCTCAGGGTGAGTAACGGGGCAGCCCAGGGGGTTCCTGGCCCTGGCCCCCAGTTCCACAGGACAGGGAGGGGATGTAAATCACCCTGAAAGTCACCCTGAATGGGGTATCAGGCCTTGGAGGGGGCAGGGGTTTTGTCCGCGGGCAGCTTGTCCATCTGGGGACACAGGGAGATCCCTGGGGGGACAGGGGCAGAGGGGGACACAAAGGCATCCTTGGGGGCACCGGGGAACACGGGAGTGTCCCTGGGGCTACAGAGGCATTTGGGGACACAGGGGCATCCCTAGGGGACACAGGGACACCTTGCTAACAGGGTTGGTGACAGATTGCGGGAAGCCGAAAGCCTCGCCGGGGGGTCCCAGTACCGGAGGCAGAGGCAGCCCCGGCATGAGGGAAGGGACACGCCGAGAACCCACCGGAGCACGGCGTCCCGCGACCCATCCCGGTACCGGGGCAGCTCAGACCGACCCGAGGGGCTGGGGCCGCCCACGGTGGGGGGAAAAGCGGGAGCCCCCCAGGTCGGGCTCCGCCGCCCCTTCCCCAGCGCTCCCCCCGGCCTCCTCCCCCGCGGGGCCGGGGTCCCGCCGCCCCCCGCCGCCCGCACTCACCGGCCCGCGGCGGTGCCCGCTCCCCGCCGCCGCCGTGCCCCGGCCGTCCCGGGCCGTGCGCAGGAACGAGCCGCCCCCCGCACCGCCCCCCGCGCCGCGGCACACCGACCCCTAGGGGGAGGAATGCACCGCACCGACACCGCACCGGCACCGGCACCGCACCGGCACCGGCACCGCACAGGCACCGGCACCGCACCGGCACAGGCACCGCGCTGGCACCGCATCGGCACCGGCACTGCACTGGCACTGGCAACGCGCTGGCACCGGCACCGCACCGGGACCCTACCGGCACCACACCGACATCTCACCGGCATCGCATCGCACCGGCGTTGCACCGGCAGTGGCAATGCACCGGCCCTGTCACCGGCACAGCACCGCACCGCACCACGCTGGCACCGGCGCTGCACCGCAGTGACAGCAACACCAGCACTGGCACTGCACTGGCAATGGCACCGCACCGGCACCGCGGCCCCATGGCACGGCACCGAGAGGCCTCTGGCACGGCATGGCACAGCACCGGGGCTCCCGTGGCACAGCACAGACCGGCACCGGGGCACCCCTGGCAAGGCACAGCACAGCACCAGGGCTTCCTGCACCCACCAAGTCTCAGGTCCTCCCAGAGACCCTCAGCACCCACCGTGTGCCACAGCTGGGAGGTGCCCTGGGGTCCCGTCAAGACACTGAGCCCCGACGGGGCTCCTGGGCTGGGCTCCCACTGGGAACTCCCCAGATCTCCTCCAGCCACTCACCTGCACCCCACTGCCAGCCCAGCCCTGCCCCCTCAGCCCCACCACACCCCACATGCCAGCACTGCCCGTGTGCCATCCCCAGCCAAATGTGTTACCGGCACAGCTCATCACCAGTGACACCAATGCTTCCCCGTGCTTCCCAGCTTCCCCGTGCTTCCCAACCTCCTTCCTCTGGGAATTTCCATCACCTTGGGCATCATCAATATCCACACTCAGGTGCTGCACCAGGCTGTGCCTCTCCACTGCCATTTTTTTATTATTTCCCCCCAAAATTCTGCCATTCCCTCCAGCCCCGCTGCCTGGGGTGCAGGGGAGCAGCCCATTGTGCCACAGTGATGGCCACTGTGGGGACATGGACTGGGCAATGGGGACACCCACCAGGCCACTCTGCATTGCTGTGACCCCACAGTACAGTGGCCCTGGCAAAGAGCATGGAGGTCCCACCTGCCCAGGCACCGGGGCACCCATGGGCTCTTTCGTGGTGACTGGTTTTTGCCATCTCCTGATGGTGGGGACCCTACTCTGTGTCACCCTGAGAGCCCCAAGGCAGGAGTGATGGACCCTGACATGGCTCTGGCAGTCCTGAGGCAGCAGTGATGGCCCCGGGCTGTGGCCAGGGCAAGCAGTGGCATAAGGAACAACGTGGGGACAGTGGCCCCAAAACCTTCCAGGGTGCCCCATGGGCACCCATCCCACATCCGGGAGCACAGTGCCAGGAACTCTGCCGGCGGGCACGCCTTCCCCTGCCTTCACTGCACTGTTGCCTCTTCCCAGCCTGCAGTGCCACCATCCCCCTGGTGACGTGTGTCAGTGCCACCAGTTCTGGTGGCACTGGGTGACAGCCACCCTTTTTCCCCAAGGGAGGGGACATTACAGCAGCCCCCAAAGGGTAAACAGCAGGCACAGGGCTCCCGCCCACACGGCTGGGACCAAACCCAGCAGGGCTCCAGCTGGGGTGACTGTGGCAGTGACAAGGACCCCTTAGTGCTGATGACAAGAACCTGGCAGGCTCTCAGAACCCCCCCAGCAGCCACATTCCTCCTGAACCTGTTTGGCAGGGCCCCGTGCAGGTGCCAAGGAAAAGGCATCCGGGTTGGGCTATTCCTGGTCATGCCCTGCTTCACTCTGGTGCCAAGTCAACAAGGAGGAGAAGGAGTATTTGCTGAAGCCTGGTGCCCTCCCATACTTCTACTGCTGCCCCCCAGAGTCACCCATGGCCCCAAATGCTGCTGATGCCCCACAGTTTCTCACCCCCCTGAGAAGATCTTGCAAAAAATTGAGAAGGGGAAGAAAGAGGAGGCAGAAACAAGTGAAAAATTACCCAATTTAATCCCAAAGCCCCCCCAAGCTCCAGGGTTTCAGTAGTCCCCTGTGGCCCCCCCGGCCCCCTACCTGTGCAGCCCATGGGGCCCCCGGCTGAGCACGCCCTGGGAGTGCCCCACAGCTCTGCTTTGGCGCAGGGAGAAGGAGCTTTCCAAGGCATCCAGCCTCTTCCTCCGCTCCACAGGCAGCCCCACGCTGGGACCCAGCCCTCAACCCAGTCCTCATCCCACCCAGAGCCCTTAGGAAGGTGTCCTGATGAAGACCATCCTGCTGGAGTAGACCAGGTCCACCAAGTAGGCGATGAGGTTGAAGATGGTGAGGAAGGTGACCCCCAGGTGCTTGTCCCACGGGCAGCCCCTGTCACAGGAACTGGGACGGCCCTTTCCCTTGAAGCTGTAGAGGGGCCAGAGCACGGTGGCAGTGATGTACATCAGCAGGGCCAGGAAGTTGTACCCCACCAGCACCTTGTCCAGGGGGCAGGGAATGTAGGCGAGGCACCGGCCGATGGTGAAGATGATGATGAGGAGGGTGAAGATGAAGCAGATGGAATAGACAGCCACACACCACATCAGGCCGGGTTCCTTATTGTATTCATCCAGCAAGGAGAAGATAAGACAAGCCACGTAGGCTTCGAAGACCTTGAGGAGCCCAGGCACAGTGGAGAGGAAGCTGCTGATGTCCCCGGGCTTGGCACGGGTCAGTCCCACCTCGACGGCGTAGGCGAGGAAGCAGAGGAAGGAGGTGGTGGTGGCCACGGCCTGCCGGGCACACTTGTTGCTGCTGCAGGGGCTGCTGATGAAGGTGGCAGGGAAGACCACCGAGGTGGTGAAGACCATCAGCACTGCCAGCATGGAGAAAGCCGAGGTGAAGTCATCCCAGGAGAGTGGCAGCATGGGGTAGAGCTCCAGCAGCTCCAGCAACAGCACCAGCAGCGTCACGATGAAGCAGAAGCACCAGGTGAACATGCACCACGTCCCAAAGGGACCCCCGAAGTTCCCCGTGGAGGCCACCAGGCTGAAGGTGAGGCAGGACAGCACGACGGCGCAGAGCCGGGCAATGCCCACCCAGGAGGTGAGGGCGAGCAGGTTCACCCTCGCCATGGTCCCGCCGGCGCTCCCGGCCACGCCGCACGCTCCAGAACCAGTGCTGCCGGCAGCCGCTCTTATCTGGGTGCTGGGGCTGAGGGGTGGGGCACAGGGCAGGGAGCTGCCAGCCCCTCCAAGCCACTTGTGCTGAGGACCCCCGGTTGCTGCCACCAGCACCACACACAGCCGGCCCGGTGGCTGCTGGGGGCTGGCGGCCACGCCGGCGGGTGGATCATTAACGCGGGGCCGGGCAAAGGGTGCCGGTGCTGGCGGTGATGCCGAGCCCCACGGCGGGGCTGGGGCAGGCAGGAAACACCCTGTGCCACTGTCCTGGCACCATGCCCCAGCCCTGCCCACAGCAGGAGGCACAAAGGGGCCTTTCATGCACCCCGGGAGTACCGGGGGGACCACCTGGACACCCCATCCCCACAGAGTGCCAGGGTTGGATGCCAGCGGGGCAGCACCCACGGGACCCACCTGAAGAGGTTGGGGGCTGAACCTAGTGTTGGGTGCCCCTGGCAGGGGGGTGCCACAGCTGGGTGTAGCCCCCTCACACCCTTGCAGGTGACACCTCCACACCCCTCTGACACCTCTGGCACCTCCACACCCCTCCTGGCACCTCCACAACCTGATAAGTGGCTCAAAGTCCACCTGTGCCAGCTGCTATCACAGGGCAGGATGGGTGAGGTGAACATGGGGAGAGCACCCGCGCCCTGGCCACCCTGGCACACCCCACGGGCAGCACCCGCACCTCCCCAGGGTGCCTGGGGGAGTCTCATCCCAGAGCAGCACAGGTGGCACATCAGAAGTGCAGAGTGCAGCAGGAGGAGGAGGATAGCAAAGGCTGAAGGCTCCAGCCTGACCTTTAATGTCACACAGGGTCCATGGGGTCTGTGCCCATGGCAGAGCTTGGGGACAAGGGACCCACATCGGGGCAGCTGGGCAGGGGTTGCCTCACCCCAAATTAACACGGGCTCCTCACCCCAGGCAGGGTCTGGGCACAGCCACGATGGGCAGGAGTGGGCACTGCCGTGGGGTCCAGTGGTGGCTCTGGGGGGCACAAGGTGGCTCAGAGGTGGCTGCCACCCTCACCTTTGCCAGGCAGCCCGTTGAGGGGGCTCAGCACCGGCCGGTTGCTCTCGTTCAGCCGCCGCACGCGGTAGCTCTCGTAGTGGACGTTGTGGGTGATGTCCTTCAGGTCCTGCAGGTGTGACCTGCTCAGGGTGGCAAGAGGAGGAAGGGCATCATGTCACTGTCCACTCTGCCCTGCTGTCACATCAGGAATTCCAGCACCCCCTACCCGGTCCCCCACTCACCGGATCAGCAGGTCCCGCAGGAGGGGGAACTCGCAGTGTGCTGGGTTCTCCACTGCAAAGCAAGGCAGAGGGGCAGCAGGTGGGTATTGGGCAGGCAGGAGGGCATGGTGGTGGGCAGATGCCCAGGGAGCACATCCCAACAGCATGGCTCAATGACACATCTCAGCACCCACCCAGGCAGGGACACATCCCTGGGTGCTGCTCCCTGCAGCCCCATGGGCCCCCCATGCCTGGGGAGGGCTGGAGGTGCAAAGGGCTCTGCTCACCTTCGATGATGCCCCACTTGGTCTTGCGGCCCAGCACCCGCTTGCCATTCACCTGGTGCTCCTGGTCGGCCCCCACCACGGCAAAGGGGATCTTCTCCTGCCAGTGCAGAGTGCTGTGCTCACCCCGGGTGCTCTGGGCTGCCCCAGAGGGTCTCTCACCCACCCTTCTCCCCAGGGTTGGCACCTCCAATCCCAGCATCCTGGCACTCACCCGAATCCTGTCATTCAGTGCCCTGTCTTCAGGGTCCTGGTCAAAATCCTCCTGTGGGTACACGCTGATGGCGTGGGTCTTCAGGTCCTCCTGGATCTGTGGGATACAGGACTTGAGCTGGGCTGGGGATACATGGGGCACCCCAGGAGTGCCCCAGGACCTGTCCTCACCCGCTGCTTGAACTCTGCCCGTTCCTCCAGGGTGAGTGTGTCGGCTTTGGCGATCACTGGCACCACGTTGACAATCTTGCTGAGCCGCCGCATGAACTCCAGATCCAGTGGGCGCAGCCTGCCAAGGACCACCACCATCACCCTCAGGTGACCCTGCCACTGACACCGTGGGGTGACCCCGCCACCATCACCCTGAGGTGGAACCACCACCATTGCCCTAGGGTGACCCCACCATCATCACCCCAGGGTGACACAATCATCCCAGCATGACCTCACCACCACTACCTCAGAGTGACCCCATCACCCCATGGGTGCCGCAAGTGAGGACTCACCAGTGACCTGTGGGGGGGACGAAGTAGACACATCCATGGACCCGAGTGTCTGGGATCTTCCTCTTACGGGTGATGAGGATCTCCTCCCGTAGGTACCTCTCGTACTGCTCGTTGATGTACTTGATGATGGGGTCCCAGCTGAGGACAAGTTGGGGGACAGCATCTGAGCTCAACCCCCACCCCAAATTGTCATGCACCAAGTTGGGCTGGTGCACCCCACTGTGTCTTACCAGTTCTCATTGTTGATCTGGTCTCCAAACCCCGGCGTGTCCGTCACTGTCAGCTTCATCTTCACCCCCTTCTCCTCGATGACTGTGGGGCAGAGAAGTGGGTCAGTGGGGATGAAGCATTTGGGAGAAGGAGGGGACTGGGGGAGTGGGGTCAGAGGCTGCCCTCGGACCTCTCCCTGGTCCTCTGTTTCTCCCAGGTGTTGGTGGGACAGGATCCCATGGTGATAACCTTACCATGGGTGATAGACTGGAGCTGCACTGTCTTGGGAATACGTTCCTCCTGCCCAGGCTGCGAGGATTTGCGGCTCACCTTGGACTTGAAGAGGGTGTTCACCATCGTCGACTTCCCCAGCCCGCTCTGCCCTGAGGGGACACCGGCAGCTCTGGTTTGTCCCCCAGGGTGGTAACACCTCGGTATCCATTAGAGAGTATTCCAGAGGTTGGACTAGTTCAATTTACCTCCCAAATAAATTTATTCCCCAAGGCCATAATACTTCAGTATCCATTGGGAAGCATCCTGGACGTTGGGATAGCCCATCTTATCCCCCCAAGTAAATTTATTCCTCAAGGCAATAACCCCTTGGTAGACATTTGGGAGCATTCCAGAGGTTGGAATAATCTGGTTTATCTCCCACATAAATTTATTCCCAAGGTACCATTTGAGAGCATCCCAGAGGTTGGGACGAGCTCACCTATCAGCATCACTATGTTATGCTGATATAGGATGTTGGGGTATGGGATGTTGCTCCTCTTCAACTCTTTGCTACTTAAATAATTTAAAATCCCTTAGATTTCCTTAAAACCCCTTAAAAACATAATTTCCCCTGGCATAGCGCAATCAGAGCCAGGATTCCCACCCCAGCCAGGAGCAAACCCTGCACCCAATGCTCACCCACGACCATGATGTTGAACTCAAAGCCCGTCTTCATGGTTTTGATTTTCATCTGGTCGAGCACGGCTTCAATTCCCACATATCCAAAGAGCTGGCAACCCACCGGGCCAGGCGCCACGGTGACGGGCACCTCCTCCTCCGGCACGGCCGGCGGCTCCATGCTGCACTCCTCGGGCTCCAGGCTGCTCCCTGCACGGGTGGGCAAAGGCAGGTGAGCCCGGAGCCCCTGGTGCCCACCCCTCCGCCGGCACCGTTGCCCGAGCAGCAGCCGCGCCGGTGGGCACACAGCCCCGGCACATTCCTGGCAGCCGGCGAGGTTCAGCCTGGCAACACGAGCACACCACCCCCCGGCACACTGAGGGTGCTGAGGAGGTGCCAGGGGCATCTTCGAGGTGGCTCTGCCACTGGACCCCCCCCCCCCCCCGATGCCACTGGTTGCTCTGCGATGTGGCATCGGGCAGCATGGCCATGGCCAGCTTCCTTTGCCCGGCCTATGCCGCCGCCCATGCCAAGGCCACCTCCTGAAGCACCGCTCTGGCCCCGGCACAGCCAGAGGACTCCCTGCCTGGGGCAGGAAGAGCCATCGCACACTGTACCCAGGCATCGGTCGCTGCTGGGCGAGGGGCACTGGGGGGTGTCGGAGAGCGCAGCGCAGGCACCAGCACAGCCTGAGCCCCCGGGACACGGGGTTTGTCCAGGGGACCGTGCCCAGAGCATGCCCCAGCCTGGGGGCACCGGAGCCCTGCGCCCGCTCCAGCCCTTTGTGCGGCAGCCTGGGGGCCCCCCAATCCCTTTCTTCCTCCTCCTCCTCCTCCTGCTTCCCAGCACGGCCATTGTTCAGGTCCTACCTCGGCGCCGCGATGCCCTCTCTCAGCTCCTCGCTACGGTCGGGGGGGGTCCCCCGGGTGCCATCAGCATCCCCAGCCCCAGCAGCGCCGCAGCCCGGCCCCCTTCCCTCCGCCAGCTCCCGGCTGGCACCAAACCGGCTCCGGCTCGGCTGCCGCTCCCACGCATGACCAGCATGGCAATATCCCGCCTCCCGCAGCCCCCTCCCCGCCACAGCCAAGCCCCTGTGCCCAGTTTGCCGGCTGACTGCTGAGTGCGGAAGGCACCGACCCCGCTGTGCCCACCCGACTGTGCCCATCTCAGCCTCCAGCCAGGCCAGCGTGGATGCAGACCACCCCCATGGCACAGGGACACCCCTGCTCCCTGCCACGGCACCCATTGCCCCCGTGGGTAGTTGCAGTGGCACTGAAGGGGTGTGGGAGTGTTTGACTGTGGGTACCATCCCTGCTGGCACCCACACACTCCCTGGCACCAGGGACCACCCCAGTAGCACCCATGCCCAGCCCTGGCACAGCAGGGCCCCACGGCGCCTGCGTCCCCCCACACCACAGCCTCCCCCATATGTGCCAGCCAGCTCTTGGCACCAGCGAGGCCGGAGTGGCAGCTTGTGATGGCCCAGGTTGCCAAGTGTCCTGCCGAGGCCGTGTCCGTGTGCCACACAGCCAGGGGACCAGGGACATGTGGGCAGGGGCCAACCTGAGCCAATCTGGGGTACCAGATGATGGAGCTGAACACACCCATTGCCATGGCAACAGCATCCAGTTTGGGGGGGAGCACCCAGCAGCCTGTGCCCACTGGGTGGGCACCTTGCCAGGGTGATGGCAGGGTTGGGGACAGCAGTGTCACATGTGCCAGCTGCCCCATGCCCCCGTGGGTCAGGGTGTTCCTCGGAAGTGGCGAAACAGCCATAGATTTCCTGGTGACAGCAGTGACACCCAGGTGGGGGTGCTGATAGCAGGCAGGGTGCCCACTCTTGTGGGGATCCACCCACCCAGCACTGCCCCTCCTGATGGGGTGCTCCACAGGCAGGCAGGGAGATGGGATGTCCCCATCAGGAAGGGGACCCTGATAACCACTGGGAGAGATGCTCATCCAGATAGGCCATTGCTCCTGGGGGACACTGGCCCCCCTGCACACCCACCCTGGCCCCACTTCCTGGTCCTTGCCAGCCCTGGAAGTTGCCAGGACAGATCCAGAACCGAGTGATACAGCCACTGGCTGGAGCCATCCCAGATGGCTGGACACTGCAGGCAGGGAGCAGGCAGGATTTAGTGCTTGCACCCCTCAACTCCCCAGGGCGGTCCCCAGAGTGCAGCACCCATACAGGGGCTCAGCCATCTCCCTGAGCGGTGCCAGTGGCAGCACCAAGGAGACAACCACAGCCAGAGGGCACGTCTGGTGGAGCTGAGGGGTGACACTGGATGCTGCAGCCACAAATGCCTCCTCCATAGAGTCAGAGCCCCCACTGCCCCAGCCCTTGGTGCCAAAAAGCCCCGTCGGCGATGGCCAGCAGCCGGGTGGCCACGTGGAAGCTCTTCGGCATCCCCACGGAGCTCTGGGGCAAATGGCTCCTGCAGCCAGACCTGTTCCAGGACTCATCACAGATGCTCTTATTTTCCAGGCAGGGACAAGTAATCCCAGGTCCGTGGTCTCCTCCATGCATTTAATTACTGATGCGGGGTTAATTGGCCAGTTCCCAGGGAAGCTTGTAATAAGGCTCCAAGGGTGGAGGGTGCTGGGAGAGGATGAGCCAGGAGAGGAGCTCCCACTGTGCTGCTCCCACTCCCACTGTTTGCCACCGCATCAAATTGGGCATGGAATGGGGAGAGAGTGGCTTTGGATCTGGTGCAAGGGAGCTGACCCCTCTGGCAGAGGGATGGAGGATTTTGGGGATGCACCCACCACACCAGCCACACCACAGCTCTACCCGCCCAGCCCAACATGACCCAGAAATGCTGGTGCCTGTCCCAGTGCCAAACGTATCCCAAGGGGACAGTGGTGACAATCCCCATGCACAGTCAGACCCAGAGCCAGCCCGGTTGTCTGGCTGGTGCAGGAGGGAGCCATGGGACGGGGACGGGGGTGGCTGGGGACCGTCACTGAGGAGAAGCAGAAGTGAACCATCGAGCGAAACCCTGCGCCTGCAGCACCACTGGGGACTGGGGACCAGGGACAGTCACCCAGCCCCGGTGACAGCACCCCCCTGCCCGCACACCACCCTTCCCAGTGCCACCACACCACCCCTACCTGGGCGAGCCGGCCAGAGCCGGGGTTGCTGCTGCCGAGAGCTGGTCACTGGGGCCAAATGGCTCCTGGGGTGCAAGGCGGAGGACGGCTGCGGCCCACGGCTCCTCCTCCGCTCCTCCTCCTCCTCCTCCTCCTCCTCGCCCCAGGCCCTGCGTGGGCGATCCGGCGTGGAAGTGAAACACAGCGGCCGCCGGCTCACTTGGAGTTTCCTCCCACGGGGTGTGGGACTGACCCAGCGTGCCACAACACCCCAAGGCCACCCACGGGTGTCAGCGGCTGGGGGCCGGGGTGGCCTCCCGGGAGAGGAAACAGATCGTTCCCACCTCTTCCTGGCAGAGAAACCGCTGTGCCTGAGTGGCATCTGCCAGTCCCCTGCCGGTTCCGGGCCATCTGCAGGGCAGCCGGTGCCCACACGCTGCCCACTGGCTCGTGTCCCACCCCGTAGCCTGGGCACGCCACGCTCGACTGCCTGCCATCAACACAGCTCCATCCCGAGCACTGCATGTGTCCCCATCACCTTGGATAGGTCCTGAGCACAGCGTTCCGGTGTCACCACAACCCTGGATCAGTCTGGAGCACCATGTCCCCGTTTCCCCATCACCCTGACTTGATCTTGAGCACTGTGTCCCTGTCACAGCCCTGAGCACTGTCTCCATCTCATTAACCCAGGTTGGCACTGAGCACTGTGTCCCCATGTCCCTGTCACCCCGCCTCAGGACCAACTGCTGTCCCTGTGTGTCCCCATGCCCCTGACTCAGCCCTGAGCACCATATCCCTGTCCCCATCACCCACCTCAGCCCCGAGCGCTGCCCCCAGTGTCCCTATCACCCTGGCTCAGCCTCAAGCTCTGTTCCCCCGTGTCCTCATGACCCCGGCTCGTCCGGAGCCCCGTCCCTCCTCCCGGCCGGGTGCCGCGGGGCAGCCGGGCTGGCTGGGCAGCGCACGGGCATTGCTGGGGGATGATTCACCGCAGCCCGGAGCAGATGTATGGATGCCTTTGCCGCGTTAGTACTTAGGGCCCGGCGACGGCGGCCCCACGACAGCCCAGCGAGACGGGCAAGGAGCCCCAAGCACCCGAACAGGGAGCCCCGGCGGCAGAGGCCGTCTCCCGGCCACCCCGGCGCCCTCCTGGAGAAGCCGCCGGGAAGTGGAACACGGGGAATCCCTCACCCCGTGCTTGGGGACGGGCATGGGCTTGGCAGAGCCCACCCCGGCACGGTGGGAGCCGGGGGCACGGCATCGTTCCCCGTGGCACTCGGTGTGAGCCGAGCACGCCCCGGCGCACCTTGGCCCCTAGCCACCTCCTGCGCCCCACGGGAAGGGAGGAACAGGATCCGTTCCCGTGCCAAGGCGAGGAGGGAAGATTGGGGAAGAAAGGGCTGGACGCGGGACAAGATCCCGGCGATAGGCGGCACGCGCGGGGCCCGGCGCGATGGGGCACATGTGTCCCGACCTGTCTCCCCGTGCCGGGAAAAACAATTAGCGCCGGGGCGGCGTGGGAAGCTCGCCAGGCACCCCGGGGCCGGGAGTGCTGCCAGCGCTGAGCTCGGCTCCGTGCTCTACAGCCCCCCCACATCCAACGCTCTCCCATGGCCCCCCGGCATGTGGAGCAGTGAGCTGGCAGGGCTCCTTCTGTCCCCGGCATCACCGTCACTCCACATCCACGCTCTCCCCGGCATCAGCGGTGGGGGTACCTTGGCAACGCTGCGCCCACCAAGGGGTCTTGGTGAGGAGAGGGGACAGAAGAGGAAGCGAGTCCTACCGTGCTCTGGTGTCCCCGCTGCCCCGCTGCCGTCTGCAGCCTTGCTGGGAGCTGCTGCCACCACGCAGGGTCCCCGTGGTACCACCAGCCCGGTGCTGGGGGGGTTCCCTCTGGCTCCACGGGGCGTTGCCGGTGTCCCCAGTGTCGGCACCAGCACCAGCCCCCCGAGGAAGGCGGGCTGGGAGCTCACTTGCACCGTCTGTGGCTGTGACACCAGCTTGAAGGTGGCAGCTTGGGGGGCTGGAAGTGGGGGCAGCCCCTCGACCCTCCCCGGGGAGAGGGTGGCAGGGCCTGGGGCTGTCTCCCCCTGGCCCCAGCAGAGCGGCGGGTGCCGGCGGGACGGGATGGGGCTGGCACTGAGGGTGACCCTCAGCTGCGGCCGGGACAGCACGCGGGGGGCCACGTCCCACCCCCCCGGCCCCTCAGGGACTGTGCGCAGCCCTGGCGCTGCCTCTGTGCCATTGTATGGGGCCAGGGAGGAGGAGGAAGGCTGGTGGGTGCGAGGCTGGGGCGCAGGGCTCTGGGTGCCCCATGGTGAGGGGTCCGGCACGGGGGTCCCTGGCTCCTCGGCGATGTGCAGGTCCAGCGCTGGCAGTGAGCCATGGCTGGCGGCGGCCCCACACAGAGGGTGATCCAGCACCCCTGGGAAAACGCTTCCATGGGATGGGACCTTCTTCAGGCCAGGGCTGGTGGCTGGGGGGGTGCCTGGTGGCAGGAGGGGCCTGGTGGGTGCAGGGCTCTCCAGGCTGGAGGATGAGCTGCGCAGGCTCTCGCCATCGCTTCCTGGCCCCGTGGCAGAGGCCTGGCGGGTCTGGAAGGAGGCGGTGCGGGCGATGCTGGTGCCGGCAGTGCCGTTGGCTCGGCCAGTGGCACGGCTGGCACTGAGCCGGGTCCGCAGCACGGGGCTGGGCGCTGGGCTGGGGCCGGCGGCGGTGCCCGAGCAGGGGGGGTGGCTGGGCTGCAGCGGCTGCTGGTTCTCGCCGGTGCCCGAGGACAGCGGCAACACCAGTGGGGAGCCGGGCGCCTCATCCCCATCCTCTGCCTCAAACGACTTCTTGAGTGCTGTGGGCAGAGAGATGATGGCATGAGAGTGGCATCCGATGGCACCCACTAATCTCTGCCCCATCCCCAGCCCCATGTAAGTCCCTCCAGCACCCGCAGGTGCCCCTCGCTCGTGAGCTGGTCCCACCCAGGACCCCACCCTCAGTCAGCTCCCTCCCAGCCCTGCTGCATTGTCCCGGGTTTTATCATTGTTCCCACTTTTATCTCGCCCGGGTGGCCGTGCCTCCGGCTGCCCTCACACACACTGCCCGCTTTATTCCCCCTGTAAGGGATCTGGCCGAGTAACCAGATCCCCGCCCGACCCTCTCCCCCTGCATCCATCCAACAGTCGGGATGGGAAGGATTCCTGCCCTTTACAGGGCGTTAACCCTGAAGCCTACTGATGGCAGGCAGGCAGAGCTATCACCACACAGCTCTGCCTCCCATGCGGCTTCACAGCAGCCATGAGCCCACGGCACGGCCCTGGGGTGCGAACGTGCCCCCCACACGGATCCTCCAACCTCAACGTGGGTGTCACAGGGCCTGGCTCCAGTGCAAAGCCTCAGAGGTGGGGACCCTCTCTCCCCAGGTCTGACCCCCGTGAAGACCCCACTGTGCAGCTGCCCCCTCCCTCCAGCCCCGGCACGGGCCCCCCCGAGCCGCGCTCCTGCCGGCGCTGCCAGAGCAGCACAGTGCGGTGCCGGCAGCCGGTCCCGTGGCCCCGGGGGGAGCGCGGGGGGCCCAGGCCCCCCCCAGCCTTCCTCTCCCCCTCTGCCAAGCGGCGGGTGGCTGCCTCCCTCCAGGGAGGGTTGGGGGGCCCGCACTGCACCCCTGCATCCCCCTGGCACTGGCACGTGTGCCAACCTGCCCCAGCACAGCGCCCGCTGGCACCGGGCCGCCCTCGCCCTCCTCTTCCTCGGCCCCACGGCTTGGCCGTGGTGTGGGAGGCAGCGGGGCTGTGGGGGTCCCATCCCCTCCCCAGCTCCCCCCGTGCCCGGGGCAGGGCAGGGGTCAGAGGCCGGGCTGTGGGTGCTGCTAATCACAGCTCTCCCCAGGGCAGGTATTTCTGTGGCCAGTCCCGCCCGGCCCCACCGGCCGGGCTGCTGGGGCCACGGGGTCATAGGGCCGGCGACCCCCTCCCCAATCCATCTCTCTGCTTTGGCACTGCCTGGGGCACCCCAAACATGCCCCTGGCCCCTGACCCATCCTCACCCAGATCCCAGATCGTGTCCCTGACAGCCAGGGAAGGGGGGAGCAGTGGGGGGGATGCAGGAAAAGGTGGGAGGGTGGGAGGTGGCAGGGGGGTCGAAGGGTGGCAGGAGGTGTGTAGGGTGGTAGGGAGAGAAAGCAGGGTGGCAGGGGCCTCTGGGGGATGTTGGGAGGTGAAGAGGAGGTGGCAGGAGATTTAGGGATTTAGCAGGGGTCTTTGAGGGATGGCAGGGAGTTTGGGGGAGATGACGGGGAATTTTGGGGTACTGGCAGAGATTGAGGGGGTGTCAGCCGGCAGTGGTGGGGTTAAGATGCTCGGGGTAGGTGCACACATTCCTCCCCGGCGAGGGCAGCAGCAGCCCCAGGGTCGGGTTTCGCCGCCCGCCCCCGGCCCGGCCCCCCCGCAGCCCCCGGCCCGAGGGTGGGAGCGCGCACACACGGGGAGCGCGCACCCGCACCCACGCGGACACGGGGGGGTCCACACACACCTCCCCCACCCTCCCTGCAGCGCTTGGTAGCCTCTCCCTTGCCCACCCCACGGTCGCACCCCCCGAGAGCACCCACGCACCCACCACACGCAGCCCCCGGGCGGGGGGAGAGGAGAACAAGCCCCCCCCCGAAGTCCGTGGGGGATCCCGTCTCTCCACGATGCTCAGCACCCACAAGACGCCCAGCTCAGCACCACCCCCCGATACTCAGCCCCCAAGGAGGGCGCTCAGCCCCCCACGATGCCCAGTCTGGGGGGGACCTCTCGTTTCCCGGTGATGCGGAGCCCCCGGCAGGTATTACCCTCCCCCTCCACATTCAGCTCCCGGGGGGAAGCGCAGCCCCCGCCATGCTCAGCCCCCCCAGACCCTCAGCCCAGCAGCATCTCCCCCGGAGCGATACCCAGCGCACGCTGCTCACCCCCAGGGGGGGCACTGCGGCCCCCCTAAAACTCCCAGCCAGCAGCATCCTCCCCACAACCAGCCTCCGCGCGGGGGGGGGCGCAGCCCCCCACGATGCTCAGCCCTCGGGGGAGCACTACAGCCCCCCAAGAGGCCCATCCAGCAGCATCCTCCCCTCCGGGGGGGCATCCCCCCTTCCTCCCACGACCCCCAGCCCCGAGGGGGATCCCCCCCGCGCACTCTCGCAGCCCCGGCCGCACCTTCGAAGTCGGAAAGGATCCCGTCCAGGTGGTCCTTGACGGAGAGCCGGGCCATGGCGGGGCGGGGGGGGCCGGGGGCTGCCGCCCACCCGGGACACCCGCATTGGGTGGGGGCAGCGCCGGGGGAGCGGAGCGGAGCCCACCGAGCCCCGGGACGGGACGGGCCGGCGCCGGCTGCCCTGTGCGGGAGGGGAAGGAGGAGGGGACCGGCCGGGGGAGGGGAGGGGAAGAGAAAGGGAGGGGGGAGGTCCCGCCTGCGCCCCCGCCCCGGCCCGAGACCCCCCCGCCTCGCCCAGCCCGGCTCCCGGAGCTCCGGCGGCCCTGCCGCCCCCACCCCCATCCCGGGGCACTGGGATGCTGCAGCCCCAGGCTGGGGGTCCCCGGGAAGGCTGGGGGTCCCAGGCAGGGAGGCTGTAACGGGGGGCTGGCCAGGCTAGGGAAGTTCCAGGCAGTTGGGGTGGAGGTTCTGGGCAGGCTGGGGCAGGGAGGTCCCAGGCAGGCTGTGGATCCCGGGGGGGTGTGTGTGCTCCACAAGTTCTGCTCCCCCAGGAATTTCCGTCCTGGAGCAAGAGGAGGAAGATGGGTTGGAGCAGGCTGCCTGTCACTGCCTCCCGGCTGGGCGTGGGGGGGGTCTGTTGGAGTGTCACCAGCCTCTGGTGTGATGCTGTACCTTCCAGGGGTTGTGTCCTATGCTGGAACTCCTGGAGCATCCTGAGGACCAGCTGCAGGGGACCCCACTCCTGCCCACACGGTGACTCAGGCAGTACCTCGGGGTGAGAGGCTGCCCTGGGGCTGCCCCCTTAGCCCAGAGTGGGGGGCATCATCCCTCCCAGCCCGGCTGCCAAGGGTCAACTCTGTCCCAGCCCCATCCCAGGAGGGAATCGGCAGCAGATGTGGAAAGAGGAAGGAGCTGGAAATCCCTTCTCCAAACAGAGTCCTGCAGCAAAGCTCTGCCCTCACCACCCTGCAGGGAACACCCAGCAGCTGGAGCACCATGGAGCACATTCCTGTGCTGGACAGGGCAGGGGGCACAGCCAGGACATGGCCATGGGGTCCTGCCAGATCCTGCTGTAGAGACACAGAACATGACCAGGGAACGTGGGACAGGGCTGTAGTGGCCTTGGTCATGTCCAGGCTTTTGGAGCATTTGAAGGTGCTCACAGAATCACAGGATCATTTAGGTTGGAAAAGTCCCTGAGATCATCGTATCCAACCATCCTCCAGCACTACCAAGGCCATCACTAACCCATGTCCCTGGGTGCCACATCCACACGGCTTTTAAATCCCTCCAGGGATGGCGACTCCACCTCTGCCCCGGGCAGCTGTGCCAGGGCCTGACAACCATTTCTGTGAAGAAATTTTCCCAATATCCAATTTAAATCTCCCCTGGCACAATTGGAGGCCGTTTCCTCTCCTCCTGTCCCTTGTTCCCTGGGAGCAGAGCCTGACTCCCCTCCAGCTTCCCCCTCCTGTCAGAGTTGCAGAGCCAGAAGGTCCCCCCTGAGCCTCCTTTTCTCCAGGCTGAGCCCCCCCAGCTCTCTCAGCTGCTCCTGCTGCTCCAGCTCCGTTCCCTTCCCTGGACACGCTCCAGCCCCTCCATGTCTTTCTTGTTGTGAGGGGCCCAGAACTGCCCCAGCACTGGGGGTGTGTTGGAGTGCTGAGCCCACTGAGCTGGGTGGAAGGGCTGGAGTGTGGCAGGAGCTGGGCTGGAACCAGCTCTGGAGCTGTTCTGAAGGATGCAGAGACCTTTGGAGCCTTAGGACTTTTCTGGAGCAGTTTTGAAGAGGCTGGAGAGGTTTCAAGCTGTTCAAACCCTTTTTCAGAGGAGGCAAAGAAGAGCTGGAACACTTTGGAGCAGCTATGAGTATTTTTTGATGTTTTGAGCAGCTTTGGAGCTGTTTCAGTGTTGCTTGTGCCCCTCTGGTGTTGTTCAGAGGGGCTTTAGGGTGGTTTCAAACTGAGAAGTTTAGAGGTGTTACTGAAAAGTTTTAATGCTGTTGAGAGGTGCATGGAGAAGGCCTGGAGGGGCTTCAGGGGCCTTTTGGGGGGTGTTGGAGCACTCAAAGTGTTTCACAACCACACAGAGGAGGCGTGGAGTGCTTCAGAGCTGCCACCAGACCTTTTCTGTGATCCATTTTGAGCTATTTCAAGGAGTTTTAGAAGAGTTTAGAGGACTTCAAGTGCTACTTCGAGGCAGTTTGGGGCCTTTTAGGACTGGTTTGAGGAGCATGAGAGCTCTTTGAGCAATTCAAGTGGTTCAATGCTGCCCAGAGCTCTGTCCTTCCACAGCACAGATACTACCAGAGCTATTTAATTATCCCATTTCTAGAGCACCTTCAAGTTGTTGGAGGTTGAGATTTTAGAGGAATTTTTTTTAAGGATGTTTTATTTAGGGAAATCTTTGGTGCACACTAGAGCTCCTTGGAGGGTGTAGAGCAGTTTGGAGTGGTACAGAGGTTCTTTAGAGATGCTCAGAAGTGCTTTAGAGGTGCTCAGGGATGTTTTAGAGCAGCTCAGGGACACTTCAAAGCACCTCTGGGGTGTTTTACAGCTGCTCTGGGATGTTTTGGAGCAACTCAAGGGACATTCTAGAGCATCTCAGGGCATGTTTTAGGGCAGCTCCAGGATGTTTAAAAGGCAGCTTTGGGATGTTCTGGAGCAGCTCTGGGTTGGTTTAGGGCAGCTCAGGGACGTTTTGTAGCCTTGGTGCTGCTCAGAGCAGTGTGGAGCAGTTTGAAACAATTTGGGGGGTTTCAGAGCACTCAGGGTGTGTCAGAGCCAGTCCCCAGCACAGAGGCCCTTGGAGCTCTTTGCAGCAGCTCCAGGGCTGCTCGGAGGAGTTCAGAGGAACAGGCTGGAGCTATCCGGAGGCACGGCAGGAGCCGAGAGGGAATTTTGCACGTTCAGGCCCTTTGGGGGTGGCTTATAGGGGCGGGGAGGGGGTGGGGGAAGGCTTAAAGGGGTGTGGAGCAGCTTAACAGGGTGGGAGAGAGTGTTTAAGGGATTTTTGGAGCAGCTCAGAACAGTTGAGTGCTCTGAGGGGTTTTTCCCGGTGTAGAAGGGAAAGCTCTGTGTTCCTGCCTGGAGCAGCCCCCATGTGTGTCTCTGTCTCAGCCTGCCCAATCCCTGGGCAGCAGGATCAGCTCCACAAGTCCCTCATCCCATGTGGACCCTCCAGGAAGGTGAAGGGAGAATGCCCCCATTCCCATGCACAGCTGGGCTGGGGAAAGATTTTGGCTCCCTCTGATCTTGAACCCCTCCAGAGCCAGCCAAGCCCAGCCTTCCCCATCCTCATCCTCCCAAAATCAGGGCACTCCAGCCAAGCCCAGCCTTCCCCATCCTCATCCTCCCAAAATCAGGGCACTCCAGCCAGGCCCAGCCCTCCCCATCCTCATCCTCCCAAAATCAGGGCACACGTAGTGCAGGAGCATTTCCACTCCATCCACCCCCACTGGAGATCCAGCACTTGGACACTCAGGATGCTTCAATCCACCCCATCCCTGTGTAAAAAAAGTCTCTGGGCAGGAATAGTAACAGCTTTTAATCCGACAAGAATTGATACATCATTTAAGACAATACTGTTTTTGCCTCTTTTCTGGGGGGATTTCCTTCACATACCGATGGGGAAAGAGGAACATTTTTAAGATGTACAGTTTTTGTTTCGTTTTGTTGTTTTTTCTCTCCATAGGGCTTTTAAAGCATGGTGAATGTGCAAGTCAGTGCTTATTGTTTGCTTAAAACTTTTTCCTGGTGCTTATTTACAGTTACAGTACCTCTGTGAGAGCGACAGGAAAAAAAATCACAATTGTTTGAGACCTGGGGATCCAGGATCCCAAGTCAAGAAAGGCAGATCTCCGATATTTATATATTTATACATATATATATATATATATGCTTTTGTGTATACACAGATACATTTCTCTCCTCTTTTAAAGTATTAAAAAAATGGATCAACCTTCATTCTATAAAAATACCTACTCTACAAGATAGAAAAATTTTCCCTCTCCAAGTATACACTGATTTACACCCAAAGCTTCTCTGGAAATGTACATTACGTGGCTTCTTCCCGTGGACTCGGGGCAGGGAGGGAGGGAGTGGGTGCCTGGGAGTCCCAGGGGTGCAGGAGCCGCCCCGGGGTTCAGGGCTCACCCCGGCCCCACTGCACCTCTCCCGAGGCCGTGGGGGCTGAGCACCCCGAGGTGCCGTGGTCGTGGCTCGCCGGTTCCTCCAGGTAAGGCTGTGGCAGCAGCCACGTCCCCCGGGCAGGGTCACCCCGAGAGGGCTCTGCCAGCCAGGAGGTGCTGAAAGGGGTTTGGCGAGGAGCAGGAACCCCCTCCCCTGGGATCGCTGTGGCTTCTGCTTCCAGGCCACTCTGGCATTCCTAAAACCTGACAGGCAGGAAAAAGAACCGCTGGATGAAGCCGGATCCCTGGGATTCCGCTGGCTGTCTCCTCCCAGGAGCTGGAGAGGAGCAGGGTGGTTCAGTGGCTGCTCCGGGGTCACGCCGCGCCACGGCCACTTGTGCCAGCAAGCCCAGAGCTGTCTGGTGTAAACATGGCTTTTGTTTCCCAGGGAGCTGCTGTGGTGTTCTCTGTCTCCTCTCCCCAGTGGCACTGAGATTCCAGCCCAGGCTGATGCCAGGGATGAGGAATGAGCGCGGCTGTTCCGTCCCCTGCCCCAGCTCAGGGAAACAGCGGGGAAAGGCGGCCTGAGCGAGCTCCCCTCCAGGACTGCAGCTATCACCAGCAGAGCCCTGCTCCGGGTGGGAATGGCACAGCCACTGTCCCCAGGCCAGGGACTCTGGGAAGCGATGTGGGGAGCTCGGGCCTCTCCTGCAGATCCCAAAGTGCTGCGTGTCCCCACAAGGACAAGGGGAGGTGGCCAGGTCCAGCCTCCAGTGTGGGGTGAAGAGCTGTAGCCTTCCCCAGGTGCCTGTGGGATGGACAGACAGCACCTGTGTGTCTGTCTCCAGCTGGGGACAAGAGGCTGCTCCCCCCGGAGCCACCTCGGCTCCACGGGCACCCACGGACTCTGTGGCAGAAGGGCCAGGACTGG